TAGTGTCGCACATGATCAGCTTTTCAAGGCCAGGACGCTGGCCAATGTGGTGACGGAGGTGCCCGGCGCCCGCGCCGAGTTCCACAATTGTGGGGTAGGGACGAGTGATATCCATGAGGCGCTCCGCAAGGCACTCGGCGCCAAAGTCACGCACATAGTCGGTGAGACGCGAAGGCTCGCCACGAGTGTCTGGCTGAACTGCATTGTCCTTGATGATGCCACGCTCAGCAGCGCGGCTGCGCTGCATACGCTTTGCGTACCGGTCAAACACGTAGTACGGCGTGCCCGGCGGCGGCGCAGTCTCGGCCGCACGCGCGACGAACGCGCGGCTCGAAAATGCACGCAGCCCACGCGTCAAGGCAGTGCGATGCATGGTGGAGTAAATTACACCCTAACTAATTCCTACAGCGCAATCAATGGCATCCGTAATTATCGTGGACGTGCGTGGTCAGGATAAACGAGACAATTAGCTGCGCCTGCACACACGGCGCTGCCGAATCCCACATGTGCAGGCAAAGCTGGTGGATATGCGAGGCACACTAGCACACAGAGACAACGCAGCTACGATTGTGTTGAATGAGTGTGCTCTGGACGTGGCTGTATGGTGGGTAGCAGGAACCCGATAGCACACAGGACTACTCAATGCCATTAGTTTGCGTGCATGCAACTTGATGTACACTGCTTATTTACCGTGGGTACCATCAGCGTGTGGATCCAGTGTTAAAATTATTCTACAGTGCACTGCTGCCTGTTGCTGCACCTCCATAGTTATGCGCGTGGGTCTCGTGGTGCTGCGGCGCAGATTTATGTGCATTATGAAAAATAGTCTGATGCACGGACGGGCCCATGCAGGAAATAAGCGCGCACAGACGCACAAAAAAAGAGGGAGTACAGTCATGCGTCTGACTCCGTTTTGCTCATTCGCATCTTGCCGTCATCTGTTTCTGCACAAGATGATGTTCGCAAAGGCCAAGTCGCAGCTCGAGTGGAATGCAGGTCTCAACCCACTCAATTTCTCTTGCGAGAACAAGTTCCTGCGCAAGACGTGCGTATATCTCGCTGACCAGTTCGATCGTTGCTACGATTGGCCCCAAGACCAATAATGTCGAGATGCTTCACAAGCTGCGTAACGCGGGCATGAACATTGTCCGCATCAACGCTAGCCATGGCGACCACAAATACTTTAAGAGCGTCGTCGACAATGTGCGCCAGGTCGAGAAGGAGGCTCCCGGCCGTCCCCTCGCTATTGCGCTCGACACCAAGGGCCCTGAGATGCGCACTGGTGTGATGGAAAACAACGAGGACCAGAAGATCAGCACCGGACACGAGTTTATTGTCACCACTGACCCCGAGTATGCGGAAAAGTGCAGCTCAGAGTACCTCTTTATCGACTACCCTAACCTTGCGGAAAAGGTGCAGCCCGGACGCATTATCTACGTTGATGACGGCGTGCTTTCGCTGCAGGTCGAGTCGATCGATGGAAATAACGTGCATGTCCGCGCCCTGAACAACGGTGTGCTCTCGTCGCGGAAGGGTGTTAACCTCCCTCTTACCGAGGTCGACCTTCCTGCTATCTCTGACAAGGACCGCCGTGATCTCGAGTTTGCGCGCGACAACGACCTCGACTATATCTTTGCCTCGTTCATCCGTTCGGGCGAGAACGTGCGCGAGATCCGATCTATCCTTGGCGAGCGTGCAGACTCTATCAAGATCATCAGCAAGATCGAGAACCACCAGGGTCTGCAGAACTTTGATGAGATCCTCGAGGAGACCGACGGTGTCATGGTCGCGCGTGGTGACCTTGGTATCGAGATTCCTGCGCCACAGGTCTTCCTTGCGCAGAAGATGATCATCAGCCGCTGCAACATCGTCGGCAAGCCCGTGATTTGCGCTACTCAGATGCTCGAGAGCATGACCATTAACAACCGTCCCACGCGCGCCGAGGTGTCCGACGTCGCGAACGCTGTCGTCGACGGCGCCGACTGTGTAATGCTCTCTGGCGAGACTGCCAAGGGCGCCTACCCTATTGAGGCGGTCAGCATGATGGCCGAGACTGCATACCTCGCCGAACAGTCCATGTCATACCCCGCCCTCTTCAACGAGATGCGCAACCTTACACGTGTGCCTACCGAGACGAACGAGACCATTTCGCTGGCCGCTGTGTCTGCTTCGCTCGAGCAGCAGGCTGGTGCTATCCTGCTCATGTCGACTTCGGGCAACACTGCGCGTCTTGTCAGCAAGTACCGCCCCGCCTGCCCTATTCTCATGGTGACCCGCAACGAGAAGACCACTCGCGATGTGCATCTCTACCGTGGTTGCTATCCCTTCTACTACCCATTCCCTCGCCCGGACACCAACGCCAAGTGGCAGGAGGATGTGGACAACCGCATCAAGTTTGGTCTGTCTGAGGCACTTAAGCTCAACATTATCAAGAAGGGCGACACTGTCATCGCGCTGCAGGGCTGGCGCGGCGGCAAGGGCCACACAAACTCGCTCCGTGTCGTGACTGTGCCCACCAACATGGGCGGCTATATCCTCGAGGGCACTTCTATTGACGAGCCACAGTAGGTAGACTTGGACACTTAGTTCATTTATGGCATCTCAAATGAGCTACGGGTAAACCTGAGTAAGGAACTTGAACTCGAAGGTCTTGAGCTCGGCAGCGATGGGGAGCAGGCTCTGGAACTCAGCGCTGGACTTGTGGGCCTCGAAGGCGTCGTTGGACTCGTACTCCTCGAAGATGATGAAGGTGAGGCCCTCCTCGTCGGCGGAGCGAGTCACACGGTAGGTGAGGGTGCCAGGCTCGGTGTCCGAGTTGGCGAGCTTGGCGATGGTCTTGAGCTTCTCGCTGACGGAGTCAGCCTGAGCCTTGTCCTTGGCAATGATACTGGTGAGCAAACGACGTACGTGGCAACGAGGATGAAAGGACCCTGAGCAGGAGGAGCAGACATGGTGGTAGTAGTTGTTGGGGTTACGTGGCCCGGCGCGAGCAGTTGCTGGCACGTCCGTGCGGCGAAATGATTACGTGCGCATGCAGCACTTTTGCGTGACAAACAACACCAAAATTCCACGAACACACTACTATAACAGTGCTTACTGCATGTCGGAGCTATTTGATCTGCTTAGCTTTGGCACGCCTGATGGGCCAAGACGACATCGCAGTATGTCGCCGACACCGTCACAGTGTGTGAGGGTCGCATGGTGCGATGCACAGCCCAGCTCGTCCCCGGTACTGCAAGAGGACGACAGTGCAGAAGTGCCAGCAGCGCTAATTGGCGCAAAAGAAAATATTCCATTTGGCTTTGGCACACGGCTCGGGCAAACTAGTCCGAGTCATCTCTCTGCGGTCCGTGCACGCAGGCGTGCGCGGCGAAGCCAGTCGAGCAAGTATGTGTATGCAAGACCGGACAACAAACATAATACACAATCGCACACCTCCCCGCGCGCGCTAAGCCGGGTACACAGTGACCCCACCGCGGGGTCCCCGCTGAGCGCCGCCAAGTGCGAGTCAAATAAACCTAACGACAAGAACAACGAATCATACGACACCGCCAAACTGGCGGTATGCCCCTCCTCTGACGACAGCTTTTCTCGGGTCTTTGATGAAGTGCCTATGGACGCTGCTGTGATTGACGAAATTGCAAGCCTCCAGGGCTGGTAGATAGAATTGTACTATAGTAACTGCTGTGCTGCACGTGCATAAAACAGTGCCAGCCGCTCTTCAGGAAGCAGCGCCGCACACTGCTCTCCGAGGTGCAGGAACTCGGCCGGAGGACGCACGCGGAATTCCAGCTGGAATTCGGCAGTGCCGATCCGCTCAGATATGCCCGAGTGGAGCTCCTCGAGTCGCAGGCGGTCGTGTTCAGTGAAACCGTGCGTGATGCGTTCAATGTACTGGCCGTCAATGTGCATCCAGTCAGGCACATGAGCAGGCCGCGCCTCCCAGCCATATAGGTCAGTCACAGACTCGACAAACTCTGCACGGAACACATCCGCACTGCTGCGGTGACCACTCGTCTGATCGGTCCATGCCCCACGCAGCTCGAGTGGCCAGCTGCCCGTGTACTCGGAGCTGCTCATGCGGTCGATCTGTGCACGGATAGACTCGCTGGCCCTGCTGCTTTCTGGAGCAGCCTGCCAGTTGATCTCGAGCGCAGCAAAGCGTCTGCACCCGATCTCATCAAGCGAATGCTGCACTTTTGCTGCGATTCCGCTCTCGAGCAGCTCGCGATAGGAAAGCGTAGGTTCTTGGAAGAATGCGTACATGCGCGACGCGACAATATCGGTCGGCCTAAAAGCAAATTTGCGCGTATCATAACGAAGGTATTCGACACCCATGCCCCGTGAAAAGATATTTCCCTGACCGCTTGTGCTGCCTGCGCATATGCGTTCCAGCTGGGCGATCGGCATCGCGACTCCAGCAAGCTCATTCGCGGGGTTGGCGCCGACGACATGCAGATGGCGCAGACGCGAGTTTGACTCTAGTATGTGCTCAATAGTTTCTGCTTCGCCGTCATATACGATACAGAGCGACACAGGAGCAAGCACCCCGACCGATCGGCCAAATGCCCGGAGCTCAGCAATTCCGAGCGATAGCACATCAACTGCTGTAAAAAAGTAGAGGATCGCGCCAGTGACGTCGCTTGGCCACTCGTCAGTCGTCTCAATCAACAGGCTGCGGGTATATGTGGTCGGATTTTTCGGCACTGATATATGTGTTGTCTGCCCACTATTCATGAGCAGCTGTGCAAGTGCCCTGAGGTTCTTGCTTTTGGTGATTGCGACTGTGGTCCACCGCTCAGTCATAGTCCACTCACAGCATGGGCGCGACACCCGCGCTAGTGAGTGAGCTGTTGATGGATCGCATGCTGCGAGGGCCACAATTTTGCGCAGCACCTCTGATGGCAACATGGTGGTAGCATTATGTAACTTGCACCATGGACGCGATTAGCTGTCCACGCTGTCTTGGAGGTAATTGCGGGAACCCCCGTGATCGAGGTGGCAGGGTAGCAAAGTGGTTTAATGCAGCGGCCTTAAGCGCCGGGTGTATTACACCCTGACAGAGATCCGCCATTCGCGGGTTCGAATCCCGCCCTTGCCAGTTTCCAATTTTCTCGTGCTAAACTAGGATCCTAATTACGTCAAAAGCAGATGATTGGACTGGCCTGCAATATTTATTGCTAGCAAGAACAAGGACATGCCAAACTGTGGGTGAGCGATGCCAAACGCACAAGCGCGCGCAGCTGTGCGTCGATCTGTTTTTGCTGGAGCAAGTGTGGCGAAGGTAACTTGGTCCGTGCTTTGTGCTGCGATCCGCATGTACAGAAAAAAGTCTTGTGTTTCCGGCGCGATATCGTTCCGTGCTAGCCGTCTGTCTTCGTCGTGATTGCCATCGCTCACTGGTCAGCAGAGTTGATAACACACGGTCAAATCCATCTTGTCCAGTGTCTAAAGTGTGCCGGGGTGCAAGTGGAGAGCTGCCGACCAGCTGCTCTTCGGGCGAGTTTTCCTCAAGGGACAGGTTGGGTATATCCGGCGTATGAGACCAGCGACGCTGACTTGCGCTCGATGTTGATGCACTATCTGAATCCTGCAGCAGACTCTCTGGAGCGCGTGCTAGAAAAGAGGAGTCGATGCGTGCGTTTCGCAGGCTTGTCCAGGGGTACGAATCTTCGCTGTCGCCACGAGCGACTTCAGGGAGTTCGTCCAGATCGATGGATGGTTCGTCAATGTGTGCGAGCTGTTCACCGCAGGTTTTCTCAGCATTAGTTATGCGAGCCACTTTGAGCTGATTCTTTTGCGCCTTAAAGTAGCGGTCCACAACCGCGATGTGCCTGTCCACACACACATCCCAAAGATGCATACATGGCAGCCAGGTCAAATGCAGCGGCGTGTTGCGTAAAGAGCCATTCTTGGGCACGAAATTGGGACTTTTTTTCTGCAACGGCGACCAGTCTCCATGACTGATATTCGCATCAACCTTGCACAGACGTACTCGCTTTGCAGGCCGCTGTTGACGAGGGAGCTCCACAATGTCTGGGATATTGCCCATGCGAATCGTGTGCCGCGACAGCGCGCAGTCAGGTATGCTTAGATCGAACGTATCGATCTGAGGCACGTCGGGGACTGATTGGAGTGCGTCAAATGTTGCACTGTGGCTACTGCTGTTTGCTCGCACGGGTGTTGGAGACGACACTGGCGGAATATCTGCGGGTGGAGACGTCCATCCTGCCGGCGATGTGTTCACACGTGGCGACGATTGGAGTGGAATTCTGTGCGATATGCGCGCCGCACGAAGGCTAATGCGGCGTGGTGTGTCGAGAGTCTGCGACACTGAGCTGCTTGTGCTTGCTGGACTGTGGATCGCCGGTTCACGCTGTGCCCATGTGCCGGCCAATGGTGTGTACTCTAGCGACTGAGCGATTTCCATCAGCTGGTGCGTGATATCATGTGGTCGCCTAACCTCGCGCGGCGGTGTGATAGGCTTTGTCACCTTGGATGTGTCGTCAAGGTGGAGCACATCATTGGATAAAGCCACAACTTGGAGCTCATAGAGACGCACGATGCCAACCAGCAGTGTGCATTTGATATGGAATGCAACGCGTGCACTGCAGACAAATTCACACGCCGGATGAAGCGACATACGCAGCGTGTCTGCGCGCTTTACGCGTCTCGCACACGCCTTTTTCCCCAGAGTGGCTACTATCCACGCCACATACACTTCCCTGCTGGGCGACTCTGGTGCAAAGAACATTTTGGCGAGCCTCTCTCTGTGCTGCTCAGCCATATATCAACAGCATGTGCACTCTTGGGCCCACGGCATCGCCGGAGCATGTACATGGTCGAGGGGTAGTGGATGCATGTCACTTTCGACACGGCAATATTTGCCGGAAACTTTGGGGCAACATAGCACAGCCCTAAAATGCAGACTAGCCAAGCAACAGCTCTACTATGCAGGCATGCATCGGGTGTTCCCAGCGAACAGCGCACACCGGCAATGCCGACGACGGTCAGTGCGTATGTGCATGAAACACGTGACTACTCTTGTCTCTGGATGCAAAGGAGCCTGCGCGTAGCACGAGCAGCAGCACTCTTCAGTCGTATCCCCCAAGTGACGCGTCGAATTGCACAGCCACCATCCATATTTCGCACATTTGCCATGTCAACATGGACTCCGCCACCGCCTGACGCTATTAGCGCATCAATGCCCTCGCTGATTGAGGACATCCACTCATTCGCCAATGTGAATGAGGTATACTCGACAAATCTCCACCTGGACTGGGACATTGACTGGAATGCCAAGTGCATCCGTGGCTCGGTGACACACACGCTGCATGTCGTCCAGGGTGGCGTCGCGCATGTGACGTTTGACACGAGCCACCTCGACCTTGGCCAAGTCACTGTCGATGGCGAGCTTGCCACGGATGTCGTGCTGGGCGACCGCAAGTCGCGTCTCGGACAGCCATTGACGATTGGACTCGGTGAGCGCCACGCGGGCGACACTGTCTGTGTTACGATCAACTACTCGACCACGTCCGAGTGCACTGCGCTGGGCTGGCTCAGCCGCGAGCAGACCAAGGCCAAGACCGCGCCCTTCCTCTACTCGCAGTGCCAGGCTATCCACTGTCGCTCGCTGCTGCCCTGCATGGACACGCCGTCGCGCAAGGTCACCTATACCGCTACCGTGCGCTCGCCGACGATGGTGCTTATGTCAGCGCTTCCAGACAAGGAGGCCAAGGACGGCGTCTACCGCTTTGAGCAGCCTGTCGCCATCCCGACGTACCTGATTGCTATCGTGAGTGGTGACCTCGAGTTCCGCAGTCTTGGCCCTCGCACCGGCATCTATGCCGAGCCACCGGACGCCGACGCTGTGCAGTGGGAGTTCGAGGCAGACGCCGAGCGGTTCCTCGAGCATGCCGAGCGGACCATCTTCCCCTACGTGTGGACCCGCTACGACAGCGTCGTCCTTCCGCCGTCCTTCCCGTATGGAGGTATGGAGAATGCGAACCTCACGACCCTCACGCCTAGTCTGGTGTGTGGCGACCGCAGCTCGACGGACGTGCTGCTCCACGAGCTGTGCCACTCGTGGAGTGGAAATCTCATCTCGTGCGCCAACTGGCAGTCGTTCTGGCTGAACGAGGGCTGGACTGTGTATCTGGAGCGTCTCCTGCTGCAGCGCGTGTACGGCGACGGCGACAAGGGAGCCGCGCACCGTGGCTTTTCGTACATTATCGGTGCTCGTGCGCTCCGTGAGTCGCTCGAGGGCTTTTCCAAGATACCTCGTTTCCAGCGTCTGATCCCCGAGTTCCTTGACGGCGAGGACCCCGACGATGCGTTCAGCTCGATCCCCTACGACAAGGGCGCCAACTTTTTGCTGCATATTGAGCGCGTTGTCGGTGGGCTGGACGTCTTCCTTCCGTACGTGCGGGCCTACTTTTTTGCGTTCCAGGGCCGCTCGGTGACCACGGAAGACTGGAAGAACCATCTGTTTGCTTACTATGCAGGCAGCGAGGAGATCACCGAGCGACTCAAGTCGATTGACTTTGACGCGTGGCTCCACGGTGAAGGCCTCGAGCTTCCTGTCAAGATGGAGTACGACACGTCGCTTGCCGAGGCTGCCTTTGGGCTTGCTGCACGCTGGGAGCGCCGCATCGAGGGCAAGGACGAAAAGTTCTCGGCAGCGGACATCGAGGGCTGGACTGCTGGCCAGGTCGTTGTGTTCCTCGAGCGTCTGCACAGCGGTGCGGCCGTTCCCGCTGCGGTAGCGGAAGAGCTCGACGAGGCGTATGCGCTCAACACTGCGCAAAATACCGAAATTCGCATGCGATTCTACCAGGTTGCGCTGGAGGACAAGGAGGGCAAGTATGCGCCGTATGCAGCCGAGTGGGTCAAGACACAGGGTCGCATGAAGTACTGTCGAGCCATCTACAAGGCGCTTGTGCGTGTGGAGCCCGAGCTTGCCCGCCGCACGTTCAAGGAAAACCGCAGCTTCTACCATCCGATTGCGGCGTCGCTCATTGAAAAGGTAAGTTTGTTTTACAGGAACCAACGCTGCAGGACATTTGCCTGTAGTAGAGAGAGTCTAACACAGGATATTGCTGTCCCACTGAAACACATGGCGGTCGGTGTGATTGGCAGCACCGGCACGGGCAAGTCGCAGCTTGCGGTCGAGCTCGCCGAGTTTGTGAGGAGCCGGGATATCGGCGGGTACTCAGATGCAGAGGTCATTTCTGCGGACAGCATGCAGACGTACGAGGGCCTCGATGTGATTACGAACAAGGCGGATGCCGACGAGATGCATGGCGTGCCGCACCACCTGCTCAGTTTTCTGCCGCCTGGTGACGAGTACGACATTACTCAGTTTATCAGTGATGCGACGCGGCTGAGTGACGAGTTTCACCAGCGGTCAGAGCGCGCGCTTCCTATTTTCGCAGGCGGCACGACTTACTATCTGCAGCACTTTTTGTTCCCAGGCCGTCTGGTGTCCGCAGACGAGGGCGAGCCGGACAAAGAGTCGCTCGAGCGGCTTGCACGGCGGATAAGCGCGCTTCCTGCAGAGCAGCAGGCGCTGTGGAGCACTTTGGACGCCGAAGTGCAGAGCAATGCAGCGCCGCCTGCGAATGCTGACCAGATGTGGGGCCTGCTCAAGGTGCTTGATCCCGAGAGTGCAGCTCGCTGGCACTACAATGACCACAGAAAAGTGCTGCGCAGTCTGCGCATACTGCGTGACACGGGCCGCAGCCAGTCTGAGTGGGCCGCATTGCAGGGCGAGCGTGATGAAAAGCCGCGCGACAGTCCACGCAGGCTATTGTTTTGGGTATGGAGCGAGCGCGAAGCGCTTCGTCAGAGGCTCGATGCGCGAATTGGGCGCATGATCGAGCGTGGACTGCTTGACGAGATCCGCTCGTTGAAGCATATTGCGGCCGGCCTTCCTGATCAAGGCAAAGACTATACCCGTGGCATATTCCAGGCGATCGGCTACAAGGAGTTTGACGCCTACCTTGATCATGTGGCGAGTGGCGGCGAAAAGGACCAGGAACAGAAGCTGTTCGACGCTGCGATCGATGCGATGCAGGTTGGGACACGCAGGTACGCCAAGCG